CCCGAAGTCCCATGATGACCCTTGGTGAGAACGTAGAACGGATTGAGGTGAGCAAGAAAGTCCTGTGCCGTTTTGCGATATTTGCAATAATTTTTGAGAAATTAATTATTTTGTCTCAACAAATTAGCGTACAGAAAGCGGCAGCGGAAAGAAAGATGCCTTCGGCCGACGTGCGACCGTGACACTTGCGAATCGTATCTCGCCGCGTCCCTCCGCCCATAGCTACGAGACATAGACTCGCTATACGATTCGCGAGTGTCACGGTCGGCCGAAGGCATCTTTCTTTCCGCTGCCGCTTTCTGTACGCTAATTTGTTGAGACAAAATAATTAATTTCTCAAAAATTATTGCAAATATCGCAAAACGGCACAGGACTTTCTTGCTCACCTCAATCCGTTTTACGTTCTCACCAAGGGTCATCATGGGACTTCGGGCCACCCTGTATAGGTGATCACACTGTAAGTACAATTCTAAGGCACAGTTTACGGATTAATCATATCGAATTCTTTTTTTTCTCATCATTTAGCAATCAACCGGAAGTGATGGAATTATTGTTATCTCGAGGTGCAACTATTAACGCCGTCAACAATGGTAGATGTAGTGCCTTGCACGTAGCAGTGAACAAACAACATGCGCAGTGCGTGAAGACGCTGTTGCGTTATCACTGCGATGTCAATCTGCAGGACTCTTACGGCGACACGGCGCTGCACGATGCGATTGGAAAGGACGCGCTCGATATAATTGATGCACTGTGCGCTTGTGAGAGAGTCGACTTCACACTACGGAACAAACGTGGCTTCAATGTCCTGCATCATGCTGCACTCAAAGGCAACGCTCAGTACGTATGTCAAAAAGAATTCGAACAAAGTTTCATGCAGCAACTTAAAATACGTACAAATTCAGAAATACATGACTTCATTACAAATTTAAAATCTATCGAAATTCACTGATCATTTTAGTTATTTAGATTTTTATACTCTTTTTTTTTTTTTATGATATCAAATAAATATTGTTAATTGTTTCATCATTTTAGTGACAATTTTAGACACAATTCGATTGTTTCAAAAGTATTCCAAGTCCACTCTAAATATCGATTTAAAATACTGCTTTTCTTATCAAGTTAAAAAATCAATTGATTCACGATTTAACGACTTGACTACAGCTAGAATTCAATTTAATACGAATCCTTGTAAATCCATAGCGCAACGGAGAAAATAATTGCACGTGCACGGGACCTAGTGGACGTGAAAAAGGAAGACGGCTTCGCAGCGTTGCACTTGGCGGCATTGAACGGCCACACAGAAGTCGCGGCGATACTCCTGTCGCAGAACGGCGGCCGTGCAAAAGTCGATTTGCGCAACAATCGGCAACAGACACCATTACATCTGGCGACTTCGCAGGGACATTGGTCACTGGTCGAATTATTAGTGCATCACAATGCAAACCTCGCCTGTGCAGATGAGGACGGCGATTCTGTACTGCATATTGCAATCGCCAAAAGCCCGAATCAACAAACCGTTGTGCCCAGTACCGAAAACAGGGATTCGCCGCTTATATACACAGTACGACATGATATTTGACTTCCTATCTCGATTACAATATTTAATTGCAATTTTATATTTAAACTATAATATTTAAAAAAATTACGATATTTACGATATAATTCGACACATAGACGAGTCATTGTTCTTGCCATTTTATATGAAACTTTAGCCGTAATTTTACATTTTTATAATTATTTTCCAATTTTCTCTAATTTACAATTTTCACTAATTTTTTAAGTAAAATTAAATGTATAAAAAAGAAAACAAGTATATATTGGTATATATTGGTTTCCGGTGAGTGACTCTTTATTTTTCTTGGACAGATCTGGCAGGCCCTGGCGAGGCAATGTGCAAAGACTGAATTAGCATTAGCTTGTTTCTTGGTGAGCGTAGATTATAGCTGCACGCTTCTTGACAAGGTGAAAAACCACAAGGAAAAGACGCCGCTCGATCTCCTGGAAGCTGACCCGCAGGCCGCTCAACTCGTCCAACTTTTACGATCTTACCAACTAAATACCAGCAGAGTAGAGTAAGTCCATAAGATGCAATTATTTCGAATTGTGAAAATTTGTTTCGAACATGCTATAAAACTCACTCTGAAACATAAGTTTCAACACGTCGTTTTTTTCCAAATTAAGAAATCAATTAATTCAAGTTTCGACAAATCGTTTTGCAGAATAGAAGACAATCCACCGAGCGGTTATGTAGAACCACTTACGTATCGGATAGATAATATGTCGCCGTCAGAAGGAATGCGTGACGCGAGGAAGAGCATACCGGGTGCCGGCGACGAAGCGGAATGTCGGGATTGTTCAAGGGTCGTACCCGGTACGAAGCAAGAGAACCGATTTGATTCTGACAGTGCACTCGTTGGTTGTGCACATTGCGGCCACTCGATCGTTAAGAAGCAAATGATTCAAGGTATGTGATTTTATTTGATTGTTTACGAGAATTATCCGTAGTGATCACTCTATTTAGTATAGTAGACTTAACATAATCATAAAAAAAATATATAAATCACAAAGGATGTATCAGATGTCTTGTTAACCAAACAATTGATAATTACGATCTATATGGCAATCAATGTGTTAACTCTTTAAGGATGGAAGTCTGTTAATAATAAAATATATATCGATATGTTCTTTTTGCACTAACATTTCAGCTGATTTTTTCGACTCAGATTGGTTAATCTGATCTGGTTACTAAATCACTTGCAACTTCCATTCTTAAAAAGTTAAATTTAATCGAGACGATATTGCCGAGACAGACTTGTAACAATTTACAACTGTAAATATTTCACGATTGCGTATAAACTTCATATTTGTCCGTTTTTGCAGACGGTCAACTAGCGGCAGGTGAGGTCTCCATAGCTAATCCGGAAGACAAGTCGAAAGGTCTGTCGCCCGAAGCCAAACGCAAGGAAGAGATCAGCGAGAGGGAGAAAGACAAGGACTTGGAGCGACTGCGTTACCTAGAGACCAGAGTCGCGGACCTCGAAGAGGCGAATATGTGCAGCATTTGCATGGAACGTCGCCGTAACGTCGCCTTTCTTTGCGGTCATGGCGCGTGTGAACATTGCGCCGCGCCGTTGAAGACCTGTCATATGTGCCGTAAAACGATCACGAAGAAGATCAATCTGTATTAGAAAAGATCCTTAACGATCAAACGTTTATCGATCAAGATGCTGATATCAGTTTTCTAGAGGGACACGCGCGTGTAGAGATGTTGTCTCGAGTAGAAGAGGGATCGATATTTCGGCAGATGATAGTAATCTAATTAGACTCGTAATTTGTAAAACGAGTCCAGCATGGACTCGCGTTTTAGTTCTGGACGGCCGACAAATTGCGATTGTCTTATGAATTCGATTGGAAATTAGTATTGTATAACTAGTTTTGTATCATTTTATTGACTACAGGGAGCGTTTGAAAATGAACGTAAAAAATGATCTTAAATGAAAACGTAAAAAATGATCTTAAATGAAAATGAATTATATAATATTGGTATTAGTGAGCACTAGAGTATCCAGTCGAATTCGCTGTCAAAAACACGCAAGTGAGTGGCAATAAACGGAGAATAATCGAATTGTGATTTTAAGCCTCTCATGTTATCTATCTCTTTTTAATGACGTCAAAAGCGGAAAAATGCATGCTAAAAATTCTTGCAAAATGCGTTAAAATAAAAATATATATCCACAAAGTAACACTTGCAATCGATTAAACAAATTTGTAAGATATTCCGTGTATCCCTCTTTTTCTCTAACAATCAATAATTTATTGTAAATTAACTTGAATAGAAATAGGCAAAGAAATAAGAAGATAAATTGTATATCACGTTAATTTACGATAAATTATTGTTTATTAGAGCAAAAGGAGAGTGCACGAAATATCTTACAAATTTGCTTAATCGATTACAAGAATTTTTAGCATGTATTTTCTCGCTTCTGACGTCATTAAAGAGGTAGACAATGCAAGAGGCCAGGAGTCTTAATGTCTCGTAATATTTGTCTGTAACATTTAATTAACATTTTTCTCGAAGCTTGGATATTTTGTGTGTGTGTATATGTATGCGATGAGAAATCATTATTTATTGTACTTTCAATTTTTAAGAACTCAATTTTCCATCTCGACGCACTTTGGAAATCGGTACAGGTACGATTAAATCTGTACCATTTTTTCGTATGCAATAATATAGATATTCCATTCCATCGCCTGCCGAGATATCAGTTTTTCTTCGTGAGATATTTTATATGCATTCGATCGAGCGATGAAAAACAAAGTAGAATTTATCGAGCGTGACGTAAGAAATTTTTACCGACTTATTTGCGTGCGATACGTACGTTGAATAATCGGGTTGCGCTGTAGAGTTGAAACTGCCAAAAGAGAGCGTTTTTCGCAACGTTTTCGCACGCTCGTGATGCGAAAGGGGGCGAGCTCCACAGCTCCCATGTTCGCTCCCATGTTGTTGCACCAACATCGTGCCATAATGAGAGAACTTGAGATTTTTACACGTGACAAAGGTCGCGTTCGCTTGGATACAGGCTGCAGTCGCATTTTACGTTACACTTTGTTGATTTTGTCAGAGATTAATTAATTAGTTTAATCGAACGCAGTGCAAACGTAGATCGATGTATCCCAGCGAACGCGCGACGTACGGTTGTTTGTGACACGTACCTTGTACGCCTTCCTTTCTCCGCGAATCTGCATGATCGCGTCTGTGCTTTATCCCGTCCATTTTTTACCCCTTCTTTAAGGAGAGCGCGAATGTCGAACGCAAAAGTAGACGCGCGAGACAAAGTCGCGCGCTTCGACGAGGTAGCAGTTGCGATGTAAATCGACATAAAACGACAAATGTTCGTACATATCGCATTACACATTATCGCGAAGAGATGACGTGCTATTTCTACGTACGTGTTTAAAAACTTCCAAGGCTCTGCGAACTTCTTGCCGTTTCGCACACAACGGGAGAGAAGAGAGCATGCTCGAAAAAGATTTGACACTTGATGTAATTTTTTATGCGATTTATGAGAAAGTTTATTAACATTTTTTTATACTCTGTGAAAATGTCATTGATGGTGAGTTTAATGAAGAGATTTTGTTTTTTATTTAGAAAAATATAAAACTGATCGGCAATGTTGCAATTTGTGAAGTAGCACTAGATTAAAAAAAGTAATATTCCTTAAATGCTTCTTAAATATTAAATAGGCGGAAAGAGAGTGTACTCAGTATCCATTCGATAAAATCGCGAAGAACTTAATTTATTGCAATGAGGAGCGATACTTGGAACCGCATAAATCAGCTTCAACGTGTGAACGTACCCCCTTCTCTCCCACGACGTTTGTATCGTTCGCTGGACATTTTGCGTACCGAATAAGAGATATTATATTAAGGGAAATACCCAGTCTTATAGCCAAATTTTCTAGATAGTTAAATCGTGTTCGTCGAGATCGCGTTTGTATAAAGCAATCCATTTGCGATCGATTGAGACCGAAGCATGGAACCAATTAATTTTAAGCGCGCTTTCCGTTACGAGCGCACATCGAACAACAAAAGGACATTTTTTCTTCACAGAAAGAAGTAATCGCGTTCGCGTCGTTTCGAAAGGACCGACGATTACCGAGGTACAGGCTTAACCGCGAAGACAAATCCTCGAGCAGTCGAATCACCGGCGAGAGATAGAAAGAGTGAGAGAGAAAGAGACAAACGGCTACGAAACGGTGGTTTCCGAGGAAATTCGCTTTTTTCTTTTATCAGTATTAGACATCTTGCCTTTCTACTTGACACAACGAAAAGAAGATCATACTCAAGATGCGCAAAGAGGCGCTCCATTATATACGAGTGAGGTGTAAGATGTACCCCGGTGTTATCGAGCTGCGTGAATCACGATTTTTTACATCGACTAGCATATTAATCTCTCTGGACCGATGATAACCGGTCGAGAGAAAAAGAGCGATTTTTATCGATTAGCATACTGGAGCCAAAGTGTGCTCCCTTCCAGGGTAAGGCATCGCGGATTTTATGCTCGCGACGAACAGCGTATAATTCGTGATACTGCCAAATCTGATTCATCGAGATGATATTAGCTTTCTCCTTTCCTTTCTTCTTTTTTTTTTACAATAGTAACTGTATTGTCGTTAGGTATCTGCGGCGTATACTACAAAAAGATATGAAATACGATAAAACTACGGTAGCGTATCGCGTAAACTCTTAAGCGTCGATAGGTTTCTACGATTGTACGTAATTTAAGACATAATTTAAATAAACAATTTTGCGGTAGATAACTTTAATCTCCAATTCACTGTGCTCTTTCAAGTTTTCCCATTTGTTTTTCTTTCTTTTTCTCCTGTACCCTTTAAACATTACGTCTTATCGACTAACGACGGGGAGAAAAGCTTTTCACCGACTCTCTTTCTCTCTCGCTTTTTCTCCCGACTAATTGCGTCGTTGATAAAAATATAAAAAACAAATGACGAATAACATTATAGAGACGATAATGTAACGTTAACAATAACAAAAACCTACGAATAACGCACAAGTCACACAATCACGCACTCGAAGAACAAGACTGAAATGAACTTTTTTATCCCTTAGCTTAGCAAGCAATCTTATTTATTTTGGTATTCGATAAAGGTTCGATAAAGGTAGTCGTATATTACATTGTTGAGCCGGTTTTGCAAAAATTGTAGCTGTACTAACGATATATATTTATATATATATAATGTAATAATGGTAATAATATTTTTTCTTCTTTCCCTAAGTAAAACCTAAACGCAATGTAATCTCTCTATTAGTGTGTGTGACATTGTGTGTATTATTTAGTACCTAGTTAACTTAAACGGATCGTAGACGCCATACATGATACGATGCCATGCAGAGTACGATCGCCTAACTTCGGCTAAAGGAGTGTTCCTATATGCCCCTTTCCAGCTTCTCTTCTAGTTTTCTTCCTCGAGGAATAATATGTAGCGTGATCCTTTAACGAGGAGCAACAAAGTCGAGTGTCCGGAAATGACAAATCGGCACGGCGATTCATTGAGAAACTCAATGCACCTGCCGAAACTTCGCGTATGTAACACTTCATTCCGCGAAGTAAACTGATATGAGCATCCTATTTCCGAGCCGATTGATCCGTTTCGATACGTACGCTTAGTTCCGCGAATGCCTTACCAGTCAATAGATTAATAATTACTAAACATTTTCGACCAACCACACCCGTTTCTAGGTACGCATTTATCATGGATGTTAATTAATCGAAAAAACGAAAGCGTGTTCAAAGCAGGAGAGGTATTTTGAAAGATTTACGTTTCGATAAAAAATGTCATCCGCTTACGTGTAACACGCAACCAGTAGTTGTTAATTATTTACATTAATTTTATATATTAATCTCTTATTTATTCTAATAAAATTTTCTTTACTTTTCTGTTGCTGATTACGCGTCACGTGAGTAGATAATTTTTTTCTCTTACACGTATAAAACGTCAAAAATTGTCAAATGTCATTTCTTTTTTGAATCACGTTTTTGCTTTCCGGGTGAATTAAGAGTCACGAAAAGCGCGAATCTGAAAACCGATGCAGCTAGTCGAAAATTTTTAGTAATTAACCTATTGAATGGCAATGCATCTGTGAAACCGAGTGTATACACTCGGTGCTATATCTTTTGTCTACCCTTCTCCTTGGATCATCTTATGAATTATATGCAAAAAATAATTTTCCACTGCTGATTTATCTTCTCTTCTCTCACTATTTTTTTCACATTATATCTTTTTTTCAATTTAGCTTATTCTTTTACTCTTTTTTTTTTTTTTTTTGGTTCGGGGCATTCCAATTCTTTTCCCCGCGGCTCAACAAATCGAACCCCTCGCGGTTTACGTCTTGTCGCAAAGTAAACGTTGGAAAGTGCACTTGCTACTTACAAAAAAAGATCATCGCGGTGATTTAGATCAACCGGTCCGTAAGGGACAATATACAAACTTGCACAAGTTCCGCATAGGTGGGCGCGCGAGGATTATCACGGCTTCTTCTTTCTGTTGCTTCAGACGACTATAATCTGTCGCCGAGGCGAGCCACAAGATTGTGGTATGCCATTGCTTTTTCGAAGACAGTCTTACTTCACAATTCGTACGACGCACGCGCGCGTGATTAAGGTATCTACACGTATCTACTCGTATAAGACATCGGTTAAAAGTGCCCGATAGCGAGAGAATAATTATTTATCGCTGTGTGAAGCGTACAGCGATCGATGGAGTTACAAAGTTACGATTTCATCTTGTGTTTTCTTCTTTTTTTTTTCTCGCTCGCCGAAGGTGCAGCTATCGGCGAGTTTTAATCTTAGTGAGTTTCTCGATTAGGATTCCTCCGTTCCTGTTCTCTTAGCGACTCATCGACTTCTTTCACCGCGCAGTCGATGTGCGTAGATACGTAAACGTCACACTGATTCATTCGCAATTATTGTCAGCTACGACCAAAAGTCCTGAGAGTCCAGCCGGACGCTGCGGTACATCATCGACTTGTCATCGACACTCGATGTACGCGGTGACGCGTACGACGCATCGCTGTACATTGCATCGACGTACGAAACCGGATCTCTATAGTCGGAGAATCTCAAGGAGAGAGGGGGGAGAGAGAGAGAGAGAGACAGAGAAAAGATAACCGGAGCTCCTTTCGGATCTTTCAGTGTCCGTCTGTCTCGTATATGTTACACCGGGTGCGGTCGGTTTAACATTGCAAGTACTTCGAAGCCTTTTTTACACGCAATTTGATGACGTCATTACGTAGGTAGAATACTCCGGAGCATCTAACGGAGTTTGCCTATAGAAACGTATCGGGAGGTAACGTCAGACTCTCGCATCATACGAAGAGAGATTCGGCGAATCCGCAGTAATGATCTAGAGAGATACGGAGCAATGACAAAGCAACGTGATTAAGCCGATTGTTAAAAGCGTTATGAAGTTCTTTTGGTTTCAAAGGAACATGTGGATTCAAAAGAACAACTCGTATGAAATGAACCGTAGCGTCCACGGTGATATATGTGTGTTGAAAATCTTATTTTTGCATTCTTTTGGAATAAATCAGTGCAATAAACAAAAAAAAAACAGGAAAAAAATAAAAAAAAACGTGAGAATTATCCTATGTATCTACAATAGAGGATATTACTGTGCCAAGAATTGACTGGTGACGTAATTGTTTAAGCTACGACCGGCTCCGGACTGCACGGAGGGAGCTCCGGCTCGTTTTGCGGCTCTGCGCTATTAGTGCTGGTGGTGCTGGTGCTCGCGGTTGATGTGTTCGGCTCGTGGTTTGGATCGGCGGGTGTCAACGCCGCCCACTGCGTGGTATACGGCGCGGCCCGCGCCTGTCGTCTGGCTTTCCTCTTGGCGCGACGTTGTTCCATGACTAAGCGCAGGCGGCGCATCTTGCCCTTTGTCGCCTCGTTCTCTTTCGATAATTCCTCTGCGAATATTACCGAATATTACCATAATATTAACGTTAATGTTGCACTTACATTGCACATCTATTTTTTTTGTAACTGTTAATTAAGTTGCATTTAAAATTAAATAGATACATATTTGAAGCTTGGTAAAGAAGAAGTTAGATTAGAAAGATTTTAAAATGGTCCAGAAAGTATACAAGTTATGAAAAACAGAGTTTATAATCATGTTATATGGTTACTGCGTAACAGTTGCGATCTCTGTAGTATTAATGTTAACTCTTACATACTTTGATACATTAGTATTTTTATACTCTAACATATTAGTATTTTTGTTTAGCTACGAACCAGTTGAGTATCCCGGCGTGGTGGAATCATGACAACCAACCGACGCAGTGGATCCACCAGCGGTTGTCGACGTCCCCGTAGAAGATGTAGATATTGAAGAGGACTGTTGGCGGCTATGTGAATGTCTGTGATGGTGGTGCCTGTAATGACCTGCAGATGCAGCTGGTGTCGCGCACAGCAGGTCATTCAAAATGTGAATGATGGTGCTGATGTCACGTTTGGGCCGACCGTGTCTATCTTGAAGGGCCGGGTTCAAGGTACCGCTAAACGTGCCGGAGTATACACCTTTGCCGTGATGATGCATGCTCTCTATTATGGCCCCCTGTCTGCGTCTCGCATTCTCCTAAATTTGAGAGAAAAATATTTTGTGTATTTGTTCTCGCGTCGAGAAACGCATGTCTTTGTTTTGTATGCGCGTATATATGTTACTGATTCACTGGTGTTTGTCTGTTTTGTTAAATACAAAAGAAAATGGATAATTTTATGTATATGATACAATATATATGAAATATATAAACGCGACACCAAGAAGTTAAACAAACAAATTCTTTGGTATCAGCGAAGAATATCGTATCGTCTAAAGACCAGATCCCATCGTGCATCTCTCACGACCTCAGTCAACTTAATGGTCTGAATCGCACACGAAATAATGATACACAACTGGAACTGGCTTCGGTAATAATGTATACCTCTGCGAGGTCGACCCGCGAGGTGAATACCTCAGAGGAGAGTTGCTTCAGTTTCTGCGTGAGGTTGCGGGACGCCTCGGCAAGTGCTCGGGTGTCGAGGGTAGCCGGCTTAGCTGGTTGCTCCATCAGCGACGTACAATTAGAGCTCTGCGGATCTCTTGACTCGGCAGCGTCCGTCATGACGATGCCATGACTCCTCGTAGCGTCTACACCACTGGATGTCGTCATGGACTGCTGCTGCTGGCCATGATGGAAACCGGTACAGAGCTTCTTCCTTGGCACTGCATCGTAAGTGCTCAAGTCAACGCAGCCATGGCTGTTGGAGGTAGATTGTTGCTGGTCCTCAACCAGACCCCCGCTAGAGTTCGAAGGACTCGAGGGGTTTGTGGGAATCGAGCGGTCCGAGGGGTTCGAGGAGTTTGTGGGACTCGAGTGGCACGACGAGTTCGAGGGGTTCAGAGGAGACGAAGAAGTAGAAGAAGAAGAAGAAGAAGAAGAAGAAGTGGAAGAGGAAGACGAGGAGGTAGTAGGAGAAGAGTTGGGATAGAATCTAATGCCAGGCTTGTCCCTTGAATGATGGTGATGGTGGTGATAGTGGTGATGATGAAGGCGATAGCCGTGATGATGATTATGGTGATGGTGACCGTGATGGTGATGATGGTGATAGACAGGGCAAGGTATGCACGCGCTGCCGCCGGCTGAGCTGCTGGTGGTAGGAGGAGCGACAGCGATGGAGCTGTGATTGCTGCGCGAAGACGACTGCGACTGAACGTTGCTGTTATTATTATTATTATTGTTGTTGTTGCAAGACGATAAGTACGTCTGACTGACGGACGACTGCGGTCCCGTGGATGCCGACGAGGAAGCGGTCGTCACTCGACTGGAGCACACCGGCGGTGATGAACTAGTCGTGGTGGTTGTGGTGGTGGCGGTGGACAAACTGGTACCGCAATTAGCGGCAGCGTGCAGAGCACTCGCCAAGCTGTTGATCAGATGCGACGTCCTAGCCGGAACATTGCTCTGCAGCTTGCTGCTGTTGGTGTTATTGCTGCTACTGTTCGATGAACGAGTGAGCGCAGGACATCTTCTAGTCTGTAACGACGAGGTGGCGTGATTGCCAGTCAAGTTGGATACGTGTGAACTATTGACGCCGCTATTGGACAAGCCACTGACGTTACTCTGATTGTGGCTGTGGTGGTGATTATTGTTGCTACTGTTGCCGGGTGAACTCGCGGTCTGATTAGCAGTTGGCGAAGCCGGAGTTACTGTTGACAGTTGCAACTGAATCAACATCATGTGATCGCCCAATCTCATCGTCAGGTTCAACGGAGCCTTGCCGGATAAAAAGTCGTTCACCTGTGAATCATTGAGACTCTCCAAGGCCTGCATTACACTCTGCTCCGGCCGTTGTGCCTGAAACAATGGACGAAAAGTAGCGTCATAATCGTTATTTCAGATGCAATATGTATGCGTGTGTATATATATATACTATAGCGTGTTGATTCGATTGTGTGTACTTGACTCGTTGCTATCGAGAGACGTCTACATCTGATTAACACGTGAACCGGTTGTTTGTTCGTTTCTTGATAACAAATAATGCGACGCATTTTAACGCTAGTAAAGGAGAAAAATATCATAATGGATGTCTGATTGTTATATTAATTGTCACATTTATTAAGACAATATAATACTTCAATTATCGCAGTAGTAACTAGATCATCAGCACCTTATTGCAAGCGAAATTTAAAACATTTAGCATTAAAATGTTTAAAGTACTCATACTAAAAAATAGTTTCATTTTCTGTGTTTTACCACAAAAATAGTGTAATCTTTTATCTCGCATAATGACTTATCGCTAAATTCTAGCAAAATAAAATTTCAGACAAGTTTCAATCATCCTTAAATTAATCGATTGCCACTCGTGATTCAGGGAACGAGGTGGTAACGTTTGTTCTGGAAAGGTTCAACCATGCCATGAGATTCGATATCCCGTACTCTTTTTACGATCGAGCACCGATCAGACGTGAGCATTCGTTTTTTATGAGAGCTATTCGTGCAAGATGAGGCGCGAATCGATGAAACCGCGACGCGAGATAGAACGCGAGAGAAGACCTGCAGAAGAGAGGAAACCTCGCGGAACCGAGGCTCAGACCCTCGACGGGCATCCCAGTTAGGCGTCCCTCGCACACACCTAACGGACTTCCTTTCGCCGGACGGTCATTCGTCGGATTCGGTAATTCGATTCGCAAACTCGCTCTACTAAGGAAAGTCCCGCCTTCGCAGGAACCGCAGATCACGAAGTGAGAATTCCTTCAACAAAGAGTCTAGGAATCCAGCGAGGAATCACCCGACGAGAGGATGCGAACGTCATGCAAGTGAGAGGAAACGTTGCATACGAAGAGAAATTTCGCGTGCGAACTTTATCTGGGGATTGTCTGGGCAATTCAGGCCCCATCTTCCCTTAGCGACAATTCTATTAAAATTATATGACCTCTTATTATATGATGAATTATATAATTTTAATAATTGTTAAGACTACATTATAAATTCGCATACGCATGCTCATTCGCCAATCTTCTTGATTTAATGACTCTCAAAATTTTACGTGATTATTTGCAAAATGGTGAAGAAATTTTGTATATAGTTTGACCTACTCTACATATACGAAGCATGGAACATTTAGCGTCAGAATCGAATTATTCTGTATATACATAAGGATATATAAATGCAATTTTATAACACGCAATCCTTGCAGCAAATATCTTATTCGACCGAACGTACAATAAATCTAAAAAATAATTACATTGAAATCAGCGACTTTTCGACAGACTGCGTCATCTCTTTTCGTAACTTTTGGATTTTCAATTTACATATTCTGCAAATTAAACGCTAAATTAAGATTCCGTGTCTCATCTTCGCCGCGAAATCGGACGAGTCCGTTCGATCGTTCGTGGACGAACACAGCGGGTGCCAAGCCGATCTGGTCGCTCGGTGAAACGCTCTTGCAAAACGATTAACCAATCGGGCCTACTCCCGGTATCCAATCGGCGTCTCCCACAGCGAACTTCCTCGATGCGCAACGATCGATCGGATGACGCTAGTGAATCGCGATGGACCGTTTAAGAGCTGTGAAGAATTCCGACCTACCTTTTTAAAACATCAAGAGAGAGAGAGAGAGAGAGAGAGAGAATTTGTAAATATTTTCGAATCAATTTTCTCCGATTGAAGGAAAAGGGATTTAAAAATGGACCGCCGTTACAGTCCATCTGTGGAATTAAAAAAAAATCATATTTAATTACTTGTATAAATTCCTACATACTCGCTGGAAGCAGATAGCAGCAACTAGGAAGCGAGTGAAAGCAATAATAAAAGCGACACAGGCCAACTATATTGAATGACTGACGGTCGCTCGCGTAATTGACGGTGAACTCTTGCTCGTTCCTTTTCACCATTTTAATTATGCGATTATATATAATAATAATGAGAGAAAGAGAGAGAGAGAGAGAGAGAGAGAGAGAGAGAGAGATAATACAGCAAAAAATAAAATTTCTATGAAGAGCAGTTTTCGTGTTATAACCACATTTCCTGTTACACATCACTGAATTTAAAATACCTTTTTCTCGGTCAGATAATATAAAACGTACGATCAATAAAAAATGTTACAAGTGCAATCGGATTTTATACACACTGAATTTCGTTCTTTTTTCGCGCATAATAATTTCACTTTTCACTTTTCCATTTCGAGACAGAAATGGCTCAACCCAACCTCCCGCCACACGTCTCTTTAAATTAATTTTTGCCGTTTCACTTGAAATTCCAGGAATGAGAGGAAAACTCTGGGTGGACGTTTAAACGACCGAGTGATTGCGACGATAATCTGTCGAACTGTACGGTTATCCAACGGTTAATTGCGGTCAATCGAAGTGTATTTCCGACGGAAATAGCCGACACGCCGAAGACGATCCGCGATTGGTTTCGCCGGTCATCTTCGGTCACCAAGTCAATTTACCGTAAAGTAGTCGCGTGTGTGTCGCGCTTCTTAACGCGATAATCTCGTTTGTCGTTTAATCACGAGGTAAAACGCTGGATTCCCAGGAACTAGATAAAGAGCCGTGCGACACGTTGTACTGACACTGTGACTGAACGCCGTTTTCAGGTAGAGAGGATCGTCGTTCATAACGAGACCATCGTCTTTAATCCGGTTGCTTAAGTCATCGGGAGACATCCGACAACGAATATAATCGACGTGGGTGGCTGGAAGAGAATTCCATGAACCAAAAAGTCTGAATCATAAAGCAAGTGATGAATCCTCAATTTTGCATTTCGCATTCTTATTTTCGCACAAGATATACGTTTCATTACATTGGCCCTAATCACACACACTCACATCTGGCTGCGAAGTAAACCTTTTGACTGCTGATCCGTAATGCGAATTTCGATCTCTCGCGATTTCTCGCGCGTAAATATTCTGTTCGCCTCGAATGTTAAATCGAAGCGTAGCCTCGAGATAGGAGAGATACACCGATGCGACAGTACTATGCATACAAACGTTGTCGAGACTGGTTTGAAAGTTACCAAATTAATCAGACTGCGGCGAAGATGGATTCTGCGGTTTTGCCAACGTCTAACGGTGATTTCGGGGAACCTCGACGCGAGAGCGCGGGACGAAGTCCGAAAAGCTGACCGGGTCCTCCTCCTTTCTCTCTCTCTCTCTCTCTCTCTTTCTCATTCTCTCGTACTCTCACGGCCGGTCGAGAGCTCGACTCGGAGAGAGAGACGAGGAAAAAAAGGAACGCGACGAGATAAAGCGCTACGAAAGGCCCTCTTCGATCGCGAGGCACTCTCTGGCCAAGCTGGGGCTGTGTGAACCCGGCGTTAGCTCTCGCCTCTTTCCCCGTAGCCACCCACGAGCGATATCCACGGGGTGTGTCAGAAGATATGTACCGCGATGGGCATAAATTAGATGTAAACACTCACACGAAAGACCGTCCAACTTTTACAACGAGGAGAAACGAGGACCGCCATCGACGATGTAATTAATCGCGAGAGCTCGGATTCCGACGCTAAACACGCAGCAATGACACACACATCTTGGTCATAATGAATTAATTGATCAAACGAATAAATCAGACGAGGACCACTAATCTCGAGAGAGAACGAGTCGCCTTAATCGTCGGGAAATAATATTGCGGAGCACGCGTTCTTCCACGACACCCTATGTATGCGCCTACCAATCGCGGCTAGAGACGCAGAAGGGGCCACGGGGGAGGGCACGCAGGAGGGAGCGAGAGAGAAAGGGAGAGGCGCGCATATACATGCGCACACAGCCGGCTCGATCGCGCGTACCCACACAGGGACCAGCGCTTTAAAATTGACTGCGGGTGACCGAGAGCCGAGCGGGCGGTCCCCTTGACAGCCATGCGAACAAGTCTCAGTCACGATAAGGACCCGGGCTGGGCGCTGTTGCTAACGCCTCGAGCCCGGGCCGCTGCCGCCACCGCCGCCGCTGGCGGCCGGAGTCAATTTCAGACTTTCAGACGAACGAATGAGAGGAAGGATCGTCGTCGTCGTCGTCGTCGTCGTCGTCGTCGTCGTCGTCGTCGTCGTTGTCGTCGTCGTCGTTGTCGTCGTCGTCGTCGTCATCATCGTTGTCGTTGTCGTCTTTTCATCTTCGATACCTCCAACCAACCCCTTTGTGACTTTGGGACTTGTTCTTTAGATATGCGCAACTTGCTGGAACGTGGGAAATTTCCTTCTTCACGCAGATTAACGTGTCATCGATCGGGCGTCGCTTCGCTTGAAAACACGCAAATATCGTAAATCCGAATTGCAAATGAAAACGAATCACGTTCGACGGATCTCTGGCGATGTACGATCAAACAAACTACGATAAAAAGAGATAATTGAAACGGTTAACGCTGCGTGAGTTACAATGATAATCGGAAGGATTACCAGTAACAACGCGTTTATAAACGACATTGTGCATTTTGTTCTTTTGTGCGAGAAATAAAGGATTATCGATCAAATACTTTTAATATCTCAAACATGAGAAGCCGAGAAAGAAAGATAGATAGAATCGGGCTGCTAATAACGTTAAAATCGAACTGATAGAACTATCAGCACGATAAGAGAACAAATCGGATGAAATTCGCGTGTTTCTCGGATAGGATTGCGAGTCAACCCAGAGAGAGACTCGAAAATCGAGGAGGCGACGATTTCAAGCGTCGTTCTGACACGCGTCCCGTGCCGTGCGTTTCGCCTCTACGATATCCTTCTGTAATTCTTAAGCGGAAATGGACGGCGAGGGGAGAGCTGTTTCCGTGACGTTGCACCTTGTTTCCCGGAGGCTTGGCTTTCCGCGCGGAACCCGCAGCACCTGTGCTGCAGCCGGTTAAAAGTCAGATTACGTTACGTTACGTTACGTTCGGCCAGACTTTGCGAAACGTTACTATGTACACGCCCAGGGCGTCGCGACACGTGTTCATTACTGGACGTCATGTGTACGTACACGTCCTAATTTCTGCGACAGATTGCCGTGCACATGCACACTTTTTCCAACTGCGGTTTTTGCGCTCATGTAAAATTCTTGGAGTAAAATTTCACGCGAAAAGCAGAATGACCACCGAATCACTCAAGTTGGAGTGATCTTTCATTCATTCATAGTGAATCCTCCATTCTGAGTGGTTGATTCAGAAACATTCACTCCTATGGAGACAGAATTTATTCTGAGCTCGAGAAAAATATTCGTTCTTACTCTCCGAATTTGTTAGAGTGGAATCTTCCTCAAAACGAATGAAAAATAGCGGATATTTCCACTCGAAGCGATTGTGGAAATATTGACATTTGACGTTGCAAAGTTGAATTTCACCCGATGTTTCGTTCACGAACGAATTCTAACTTCATATGAGCGTGATTTAATCAATTAGAGTAAATATGTTTTCTCATGACGGTGCAGTACGTCAGATTCATTCTTCAATTTCGAATGAAAATATCGACTCGGCGATTCAGAATGAAGAATTCACTTTGTATAAGTGAAAAATTATTCCAACTCGCATAACTCGGGGTGATTACACTTATTTTTGAGCGGAATTTCACTCCAAGAGGTTCACAGAGTATCGCACACCTACGAAGATAAACGCGTGCAAAACGCAATTCTCCGCATTTGTGCTCTTCGAAGTTTCTTTTCAGCGACGATGCTCATCGCTCCACGAGGTGTATCGAATATACCGTAATGCGTCAGCGTGCTACCATCTGTTATTACACAATTAACGCGAACGTGTCACGCTTATTAACGTCGACTCGAAACCACCGAAAATTGCGTCTGGCCAGCTCGCGAAGGGGAAGTTTGACGGGGCCGCAACGGCCGCGACGACCGCGATGCACCGATGATCGCGTTTAGATCCGCGAATCGCCGGGCAGGATGAAGGCGTCGAGGACGATATGGTGACCGAGAAACCAAGTGACCCGGCGATACGCGAACACGTCGGGGAGTTAACGGCGTTTGTCCGCGGCGCGGATCGCGCCTCTCCGTAATACGTTCTCTCCACACCGCGAGAGTCACCGGTACCCGAGCATCCTCCGCGTGGCGGCGGCGTCGGCGGTGAGCGAGGAACGGTTCCAGGACGGAGAGAGACCAAGTGCCAAGCGAGAAAATCCGGGTTGATCGCGGACGCGACGGAAAAAATAAATAGCGTTATGTCAGCCACGGCGCGCGCCAATGAGGAGTGGAACCACGTTAATCGGGAGATTCGTCGGTAGCGAGCAAACTTGTCGAGCTCTCAGTGGAAGCTCCAGGCACCTGCTCAGTGATTAGTACGAAATATCGATTAAACACCGCGATAACGAGCGAATCATTGATGCGTACACAGCAAATAACGCAGTCCAGAAAGTAAAGCAGCGAAAATCGCAAAGTACGATTGAAGAGTGCACGATCAAATCGGTGAAACTGACGCAGAGATTGGCTTGATTAATTTTTCACGACGATCCCCTCGATTTCGCCGTTTTACTCCAGGAAAAGACGACAGAAATTCACTGGAGCTCTCTCTCTCTCTCTCTCTCTCGCGCGCGCGCAAGTCGGTTGCAGGTCTCTACGGCGACGATGAAACACGATAAAAATCGTACGCTGATAACTACTCATTATTGCGCCAGTAGTGGGTTGATTTGATTAATACCCACGTGCACGGCTAGGACACGAGTTCAACTTACCAGTAGTCCGGTTTCCACGCTTGGCAGCAACGTCAGTCGGCTACCATGTTGTAGGCCGTTTTCCTCGAGCGTTCCCTCACGCAACTGCCTGAAACGAAAACAACAAGGACGTTGCGTTATCATTGCCTCATCGATTCGTCGATGGTTAGCCGCGCGATAGTGATCACCGATCGAGCACTGGAAAAACGACAAAGAAGAGAAGAAAGAGAAGTGTCGGTGCGACTTGCTCGCGACATTCTCGCCGCGCCGCGGTTCCGGACGGACCCTTTAAAAGCTCGCGGATGTATCGCGGCGATAAATCCGGAGCTGTAGGAAGTACTCCAGCGCATTGCGTTAAACGAGCTGTCGTTGTTAGGCGTCTCGAGAACGCTGAAAAGAGAGCGCGAGCTCGGGTGCGACCACGACAGAGACGACGACGACGACGACGACGAGAGGAGAGTGTGGTGATGAAAAATACTCGTATGCAACCGCCGACAGAATTGGGTCGATCGCTGCGCGTCGGCACGAATGTCGTCTTCATCGCCTCGACCCTGTGTGACGCGTCGCGAGTCTCTCTTCACTGTCTTCTAAAATAAATCGCCGACGGATACGAATCATATTTCTCCGGTTTGCATCTTTCGCGGCCGAAACCTAATCCACTTAATCCATAAAATATACATACATAGTATACTGAATATATGTATATATTCTAAATTAAGACTTTAAATATTCGTATTTAAAGACAAAAATAATAAAAATATATAGGTTTAGGTACAGTTTCGCGAAAAATATTACTTTAATCTTACGAGAGAGAATTTCGGTGCGTGAGGACACGTCGTCGACGTCGGCCTCAAGTCTTCTGTTAGAATTCCTCGCGACTGTTTGTCCGCACGATTAGATCTCACTTGAGTCAACAATTCAGGAAGTATACGCATACCTCGGTTGACTCGTTGCGCGCCCGAACGTGCTAATAAGTGCGAGAAACGAGTGGATCATCAACTCCGAAAGCGATAAAGCGACGTCAACGTCCGCCATGTGAGGACGCTAAAACATTGTTAAAACTAGCTGGAACGACACGGTGGAGGGGGGGCGGGAAGAGGATGAGAATAAAAAAAAAGAAGAAGCGTTTTCCTTCGCAGAAGTCCTGCGGCGCGTATTTGTGACAACGAAAAACCATTGCGCGCACGACCCGATTCGCACGCCACGGCGCTATCGCGCGAGGTTGCTGATGCAACCGTCGAGCGGAAATCGACCGAAATAAACACGCGTGCGTATAAACGCGCGATAAAGAGACGCTTTAGAGCCACGAATGAAAAAGAAAAAAAAGAAGATATGTATACTAAAGCGTCATCCACCGGATTCACCGGCCAGGAGCGATTACAGAACGCTCTCTTAATTACCTTAATTCAACGTTATCTCTCTCTCTCCATCTCCATTTCGATTTAATTGTGTTATTCGCCGAATTTAAGCGAAAATTCTCTCTGTCTTTTATTTCAGCGTTCAAAAGAATCTGTAAGGCTGACTGTGAGGCAGCATTTTTGCTTATAGCTCCACGACTCGTGTAAATCGTCGTATCTGTTCTTTTCATCTACATCTAGAATCGGGCAATCATCACTTTTGTGCTACTAAAGCCTCACGTGGGATTTACAACCCCACTTTACGATCAATAAACTCTACTCCACTCTCTTTCTCTTTCCGTAACACGCTCACGCTCTGTCATATTCCGCGAACGTATCTAACGTATCTAATTTGAAAATTATTGCCTTGAATAAATAAAACCGAAAGATACGCCTAATTTAATAAACAACCTGACCATATAAATACTCCGTTTCTTTTTATTTCAGTCCCGCCGTCCTCTTTCCTTTGTTGCGCCCGTCGGTTTTTCACTTCGCTGAAGGGCGAGAGGGAATCATGCACACACTAATGGCACTAAAAATAACTCGTTATCGACCAGCATCGTCAACCGTTAATCCACAACTCACTCTCCACTTTTCGGTGTCTCTCTCTTTCCCCGTTTTTCTCGCAGTGTCTCCACAGCGAAAAGCGTTCCCACCGATTGCTTCCGGTATATTGGCCGATATCTCACGTACTTCATCGGGACGTATGTTAATACACATACATACGTAGGCGCGCACGCACATAGGCGTGCGTCGCGATTGCAATATCGCGGCCTCGGCGCTCTCTTGTTGTCATTGACGGAGCCGCGTGATAACGCGCCCAGACTCGCGCAGAAACGTAAAAAAGCAGGCCCCGATAAGGAACACCAAGCCAGTAGATTAGACCGCACGACTCGCGAGTAACGCTGCCCGGATAACGTCGGCCGCGCTTTCATTTGGCGGCCGGCTGACCGGTCGGCTAGCCAGTCAGCCAGCCAGCCAGCCAACCAGCCGGCCAACCGGCCAGCCGCTCGTTTGCTCGTCGGACCTCGGCCGAAGGAACGAGACCTTGCCGCACGCGAATATAACAGCGGCTCTCCTTCTTTCGGCTGCACTATGTTATTTTCCACGCTCGCAAAATAAAAAAGCCACGCATACACTCGGATATTCCGCGGGGCAAAAAGAGAGGAGAGAAAGTGCGCGAAGAATAACGGCGGGATTGTACAATCGCGCGATTACGTTGCCGATAATCTCGTTGGAATTCCTTATCGATCATCGAGTCAACGTGAATACAAATTTTATCAGAGGGGCGGCGATAAAGCAGTTCCTTGAAACCTCTCGAACTATTTGGATCGTTAAGAGTGTGCGATTATTATTCGTGTTCCTGAGAATTTCACACGTCAAGTGTAGGTCAACATTTGAACGGTACATCTTGCTGAGAGCCGCTGCTTTTTTTACGCTTTTTCTCAGCCAAGCTTTTTATACGTTATAGAAATGTTACGATCGACGACTTCGACCAGTGCGAAGTACTCGCTCGTGTATTCGCGTTAGTGCCGACGTGTCGATTAGCGCGAAGGCGCGATTCAAGCGATTGAGAAAGCACGCGAATATTTCCCAGCGTCAGCATTCGATGCGATCGGCGGTCCCGCGTGAACAAGTAACCGTGTGACTCGATCGCTGTGCACACGATTTTCGTCAAAATCAATGGGGATTTCGGGAAAATCAATGGGCCTAATTAATTGCTATGTAAGAAATTGATAATTGCATTCTTCGTGGATTCTTCGATCAATTTTAAGCCAACCTTTTTTTTCGCACGATGGTAATGAGAGATTAATTTTGGGTCATAAGCACTTGAGGATGCCTTCTAACGAAGCCAACGACTGACTGGCTAAGATCCTGTCAGGCAGATTGCGCCAGTACTGAAAATCGGGCAACTATACTGAGAAAAAATATTTTCTCAAGGAATAAGAGATATTTACTCTGGTACTAATAACGTATTTACTTATACACGGCAGGAAAGTTTGGTCGGATTTTCACCAAGTATCTGGTGAAACATGAACAAACCAGAATTCCGATTGAAGTTACCAGATTGTTTATGTTAACAAAATTCTGTTTAATCAAACAAGATCTCTAGCTAATCAGAATCTTGTTGACTTAAATAGAATGCTGCTAACTTCAACCGGAATCTTGATTCATGAGAAATTCCGCCTCTGCACAGCTACGAGTTCGTATTATCGTTCATGGTTACCAAACTGATAATGCCGTACACGTCGGCGGTCGGATTTAAAAACGAAACCTCGCTAGGAGAGCACGAAGTTTTGCTTAGTCGACAGTTTGTCAACTAACAGTCATTATTTCGCGTCGTAATTCCTAAACTTGCTTATCAGCCGGGTCTAAAGTGCTTCCTCTTGCACGCCGCGATACAATAAATGTTTGTGTGCGCGCGCACACGTGTGTTGCAATAAATTCCAATGAATAATCAATATCGAGCAGAGACACAGCGTGCGGCAACAATTTTTCTCGTCTGTACAGAAGTACTTCGAAAATGGTAACGCACGAGACGCAGGTGTATTTTAACCCGCTCTAAAAGTGGGAATACCCGAACACGCATTCAATCCCGAACATTTAAACACAAATGTTTAAACTTTCAACATAGAATATGAGTATCATATCCAATATATGTGTTTATGTTGGAAACTTAAATATTCATGCTTGAAGACGAAAACAATGAGAATGTCCAGGATCAGATACGTATGCATTGGTGCTTTTGCTCTACGTTACATTACGCGAAGTTAAGAAACGCGAAGGTGCATCCGCGAGCAGAGTTCGTTACGGGTGCACAGCCGAACTTAACGGTTTTTCGTCAAGATCCGATCCGAACGCGTGTCGCTGACCTTTTACGCTCAAGAAGACGACGACGACGACGATAAAAAGTCACCCGTAGCGCGATAACGCCGCCGACGTCTCGCAATATTTAGAATCGAAATGCGAGAGAGACCGTCGATAGGCGGAGTGAGAGAAAGATAGCCGGAGAACGTGACGCGAGGTCTGTCATGGGAGTCATCGTCGTCATTCGAGTCGTCTCTTCGCTCGTAGCGGTAAATTCCCGGCTTTTTGTATAAATTAAACTAACGGGCTTGGCGTAATCGTGAAAAAAAAATACGAAAGTAGCGAGAACGGCGTGTACACGGAGCTCTCTCTTCCTCTTCCTCCAACCCCTTTCGCGAAGTTACAACGCGCAGTTTGGCAGAGTTCGTAACATCCGATACAGCGAGAATTCCCGATATTTTGCAGTGTGTTGATGCAAATAGGAGTAACGAGGCGATACAATTGCGGCGGCAAACCAACGAAAAACTATTGATGCTGTTGTCAATTGATGCCGTTGTTCGCGAATTGTAATCGCGACGAATGAATAAATAAAGGGCCTATCGAGGCGTGAATTTTGACAAAATTCAGTTTTGCATAACAGGAACGTTCAAAACTTGATGAAACTGTCAAAACTTCGTAGAAATATCCAAATCGCAAAAATGTCTTGGAAACACTTTAATTCTTCTGGCGAACGAGCGCGATCTTAACATTCAAGTATCTTTTAAGCATCCTTCGAATTTCTCCCTCAGAATTGACATATTTCTCAAGAAGGAGTAATGTGTGAACGCAGTTAATACAACCGGGTGTCAAACACTCGAGAGATTTATGGGTCCTAATTCTTACGAACGAAACTGAGCTAATTGCG